TTATAAACGGTGTATTTTATTGTAGTTATGGCTTCCTGATTGAAAAAGGCCACATCGTCACTAACACCCGAACCATTGTAACTTCTATAAGATTAGAGTCAGTATACAGTTCACAGTGGATGCATTGAAATTGCATTCTTTTTGTCTTCTTTGTGTAAACCACTGGAATTCATCGGTGGTTTCCTGTCGCCATGGCTAAGAGAAAAACAACCACTTTACTGTAGGTGATGTCATGCTGCAGGCTCCTGACTACCACCACAAACATATGGCCTGAGATTCCAGACGAGGAGGAAATGTCGGACCTGTGACTACATATAGCTCACATTTGGTCTCAATTAAAAATAATTACATCTAGTCAGGGCAAAGTTCTGAAGGAGATGTCTCTAGAATATGTTTTGGATTTCTTTAATAGAAGAAAGAATATTTATACCAAAGTTTTTCAGCTAATAGAGCTCCAGGATTTTTACTTTTTTGTTGGTGTCCACCCAGTAACCCTTCAACTGTAAGCAAAGTACAACAGGGAATACATATAAAAACATATACAATCCTGATACTATGAAAAAGTAAAGGAGTTCCAAGAAATACATCAAAGCCCAGAGTGCTGCTTTGTGTAATCATGAGGCACTTCCGCCATCCTTTGGCTGAATTAAGAACTACAACCACTTGCAAATCCAAACGACACAAAGGCTGAGGAGCTTAAATTTGCTGCATGTTTTATTTGACAGTTTGGACAAATCTCTGTGTTGTCTACTGACGCACAACCTGAAAGGAGAAGAAGAATCAGACAACAGAAATGTGGTGATACACATTCAGACTCATATCTTAGAGGGAACAGGAGACTTACTGAGTTGATCCAGTCAAGGAAGGAAGAGACCCTGGTGAAGACGGTGGGTTTAGTCACCTGGTTGCACATGCCAGCTGGACCGTAACTGACAACACCGTGGACCCTCCAAGCTCCGTCAGTGAAGCAGCTCAGGGGACCGCCAGAGTCGCCCTGAGACAGGAAGCAATAAGAACCAGGATGGGAAGAGATTTTGAAGTAGAGAGAATAGAGACACTTTCATGCCCTTGCTCTATGTGACTTTGACAAGCATGTACAGCCTCCTGATGTGAGAAGTGTGAAACTCAAGAGTAATGTTGAGCCGTACATCAGTTTAATTACATTATTCAGCGAGGAAAGTTTGGAGTTTGGTTTGTATGTTACAGCAGCAGCTCTTCTGGTTCCAGAAGCTGGGGATCATGGGTAATATCCACCCAATGTTACACAGTGCTGCTTTAAGACCATGCAGAGACGTGACCTTTTCGTGCTCTTTCACAAATTGTTTTTATCTGCTAGGGGTTATGTGAACATTTCAGTATTGTCAGAATTACAGTCTCTGAAAAGTATGTGTAAGATTGAGGCAAACTGGTTCCATAACAAAAACACCCATTCATGACGCACTCGTTTTCTTTACTATACCTGACAGCCTGATATGACTCCATCACCTCCAGCACACACCATGGTTCTCAGAGCAATGCTGCCCCACCAGTTAGGCTGGGAGCAGACTGAGTGCTCCACTATGTTGATGGGAGCCACCTGAAGAATGGCAGGCATGCTGCCTACATCTGTGAACACCAAAGAGTAAAACAAGAGAATAGGAATTTCTTAATATATATAGATATGCAAATCTAACCGTGTGTGTGTGTGTGTGTGTGTGTGTGTGTGTGTGTGTGTGTGTGTGTCCTCACAGTCAATTAACCCCCAGCCGGTGATGAAACAGGTGAAATCATGAGGCAGCATCTGGTCAGGGAAGGGAAGGTCAGCAATGGACACATAGCCATTGTCATACACAGGATCAGCCAGTCTCACGAGTGCCATATCATTCCTGAGAGAAATAGAAAACAATATTTCTTCATCATATAGTGGCAAAATCCCGCGTGCAAAACAACTTAAATACAACTTATTTGTTGTATTTAAAGTTGGTCTGCTTTTTGCTGATGAAGCCCCTTTAAAAGTGACTTGGATGTGAAAAGATACAGAAGTTCTGCTTGGTGGTTTTATTGTTTTTGCTCCCAGTGCTTAGTGTTAAGTCATGTGTAGCCCCACCCATGATAGTATTTTCTTTATATCAATACAAAATATAGCCGTTTTAAATTGGACCAAAATAAAAATAAAGGGTCTGACATGTTACCCTTTGCCAAGCTCTCCATTCCAGTCAGGATGGACAATGATATCATCCACGCGTCTGAACTGCTCGCTGCCGTCATACTGAAGCAGGTTATACTCACCCACCACCACACGGTACAAACTAGCATCCATGCTGACAAAGTGGGAAAAAAACACACGAGTTCCAGTAATTTATCCAGCATTCATTCAAATGAGACGTATGTGTGTGTTATATGTTCAAATGTGCAAGTGAAGGAGTGTTTAGGGCCCCGACCTGAGGATACAGTGAGCTGCGGTCAGGATGAAGGAAGGACTGACAATAGTGCCTCCACAGATGTGCTGGTAAAAGTCACTGTACGGGTCATACTGGAGAGAGGCCTGAGAGAAAACAGAATAATACACACACAGAAAAAATGGAGGATCTAATGTTATTTCAGTGGTTTGCTCAATGAGAAATAAAAAATCCCTCAGCATGTTTAAAAAAATAGCTTGAAATAAAAAAACAAAACACCAACAGCATACTGAGTGCATCAGATGCTAAATATAATTTGAGTCATACACATGTCATGTAAATGTTTATTATATTGGCACATGTTTTATTTTAGGTAGTAATCGTAAAAATATAACTGCATGTTCGGGTTTTACCTGCCACTTCCAGGTGTTGGGTTTAGCATCGTTGCCTCCTATGACTCTCTGATTGTGAACTTTATGGTTGAAGGGTACTTCAGCGCAAATCAGCCCTTTAATATGAATGCAATGTTAACAAAATTACCAACAGCACTTAAGAAGTCAATAGCGTTGATGAATATGTTTCTTACCGAGGCAGGACAGGAAAAGCACAAGCCAAATCATTTTTGCAAAGTGAAGACAAGATGCAGTTTGAGTGTAAGTATTTATACCAGGCAGAAACTTGGAGACCTTCAGCAGGTATTAGGCAACATTAAGTGACCTGCCAACATTAGAAATTCATGTGGATCATTCCAGGTCTAATGTACATCATGCTACAATAGTGCAAGTTCGAAAAGTTTGATTTCTTTACGGGTAGTCAACTATATACAGTATATCTCTCAAAATCTATGTATATATAGTTTTAAGATCAATATATTTCCATTTATATTTAATTGGGCTAGGTTTCAAAAAAAGAGCTCACATTTCTTATCATGGTGAGAAAAGAGCAGCTGCGTTCATGCGAAGGTAAAGTCAACTGAACCATGTGTTAAGAACGGGGCTCAAACACAAATGTTCCTGCAGATAACACAGCCTGCACAAAAAAACAACATTCCACTGGCTGCGAAAAGAACGTGACTTTATTCAACCTCATGTTGTGAAATACAGAAATATTCCTATTTCTTTCTTCCAGATTTCTGCTGAAATGTGTTTTTTAATTCTCCTTTGTGACGTTGAGGATCAATGTCTGAGCTTTACAAGTGAAGTTGCTTTTATTGTGTTTTTGTGGGACAGATCTTTTTGCCAAATAAATACATTATCATGATGTTGGGTAGTTACTCTATCTAAATGTAAAATGCTCCCTTTCCTTTGTGTTAAGCCATGAAACATTAATATATGTGCAAACCAATTAAAATATGGAAAATTGTTAGTTTAATTATTAGTCTTGAGGTAACGTTGACACAATAATTGTAAATAATGTAGGCTAGCTAATAGTGTAGGTTTATCCTGACTAAATTAATTATGTAACCCATAATGTGGCTTAAACTCAATCTGAAAAGAATTTACTAAAATAAAATAATTCAGATTTCAGTATAATTTATTTTCATTAACTAAAGTGAAGTCAATGATAAAATACAAGTTATAATAAAACAAAATCATGTTTTTAATGAATATGTGTTGTCTGTTGCTAGGCAACTGATCGGCATACACAGTTCCAGGACAGCCAATCGAGCGCTACTAGCTTGACCTCATCATGAATGTCAGACCCGACTAGGATCGATTTTTCTGGCATCTTCATGTATTCGCTGAGCCTAGCCGCCCAGCTGCTGCTGCGTAAACCTGCCTCAGCTGTTAGCATTAGCTCGCTAGCTGTTAGCAGCAGTGTGGCTCCTCGTGATGTCTTCTAACACCGCTCTGCTCCAGTGACGTTCAGCCGGTTCCTCGCATCGCGTAGCTGTTTTAGAGAATATGGGGCTAACGCAGAGCTCGCTCCTGTCGGACGGCGGCGCTAACAGCGGATATCACCTCCACGGGGTACGTAGTTAGCGTAGTTACACACAGTCTTCGCCCCCTGAGGTTCACTCTTTTGGATTTAATGCTAACTATGCTAACTACGAGCAGATAACGCAGCCGTATTCACGTATGCAGTAACGTAACATTAGTTCGGTAACTGACGGGTTATTCTCTGTTTGTAGTAACTCTTAGAACTGTGTTCCGCATTAATGGAGTCCGCCCATGATGAGGTGGCACTGGGCTCACGCCCAAGATACACAGCGTTGCTAGCATGTAGCAGTGTGTAGTAATAACTTCATAAACTCATACTAGTACTAATACTTGTTACAAATCAGAGTACTACACATGTGAGAAACATCTGCTGTGCTGTGTCTGCCATGCAACATCTGATCTGGACACGTGGGGGCGACTGTAATAGCTGTGTTCTTTACATTTCACTGCGTTAATCTGAGTGTGAAATGTTTCAGGTTCAGAGGGACTCTCCTGCACTGAAGGCTGGTCTGGAGCCTTTCTTTGACTTCATCCTCTCTGTAGGAAACACCAGACTCGTGAGTGAAATAAGAGGCAGCTGAGCTCCAGAGTCTATTTGACATGTCTCATGGCCAAATGTCAAAATATTACCAAATGATGATGGTTGTTTGGTTGAAGGGAATGGATGGGATGTGACTCTTTGTCCACTTTACTTTAGTTTAGTTTATTCTACTTTATTTTGATCCCCGTTAGCCACAGCCTCGGAGCAGCTCTTCTCCCTGAGTACACAAAAGCTTCATATTTGACAATCCTCCATTACAACAAACATTATAACATTACAAAATAAGCAAACACTCAAACAAGCTCCTGACAACACAACAATCTAGAATATGTGAACCCATTCTAATACCACTGACATCTCCATTTGTTCTAAATCCACTTGATGTTAGATGCAGTTTAAATCCAGTTTGAGACACAAGTAGCAAGATGATTGCTACATGAGCTGAGGAGGTAAATGGCAGGTGTGAAAGAGTGGTCCACGATACGTTGATATCCTCCATCTATCCATTATCTATGCCGCTTATCCTCTAAGAGTCGCAGGAACCAATCCCAGTGGACATTAGGTGAGAGGTGGTTTACACCCAGGACAAGTGGACATACAGAGACAAACAACCATCATCTTCATAATTTGATTGAGTAATTATTATCTGTGGAAATGTAATTTGTAATCCGGCTGCAGGAGGTATCATCTCTGTGGAAATATGCCAACAGGCAGCTATTCATTTCAAAGTGTTTGCATAATGATCACTTATCATGCAAATATGTAAGAGCAAAGATCTAATTCTTGATTTTTTTTTCTTTAGTTTTCTTGATGTATTCTTAACTTTATTTTATGAAGACACGTGTGCTTCTGTTTTATTTCCTGCAAACCCACTTTGACATCTCACAGTAAATGTAAACATCTGACCTGTATTATAGCCTCAGGGGAACAAAAAGTGGCCATGTGGTCTGCTGCTATAATCTCATTTCATGTTTCCATATATAATTTTGTTCTCTGTCTCTGTATCCAAATGTCACAGCTGGGTTGTTCAAAGTTTCCCTGTTTCTCCAGAATAAAGAGAGCGACTTGCTGAAAGATCTCCTAAAAGCCAATGTCGAAAAAGCGGTCAAACTTGAAGTGTACAACTCCAAAACCCAGCGGGTTCGTGAGCTGGAGGTGACACCCAGTAACATGTGGGGGGGTCAGGGTCTGCTGGGGGCCAGTGTCCGCTTCTGCAGCTTTGAAGGAGCCAATGAGAACGTGTGGCACGTCCTGGTGAGTCAAGTCCATATGAACTAGTTTACTGTCAACAGGGAACAGATTTTCTTTGAGGATTCATTGTAAATTAGTTTCATCAGGTTTCAAACCCAAATCTGCTTAATCTTGTGCCACATTTACAAGGTAGTCTAACAATTAAAAATGAACGAAATTAACAATTTAAATGCATGTTCTCAAACATAAATCACCACATCACAGAACATGTTAAGATACAATGTTTTCATTCCCTTTTTAGGATGTAGAAACTAATTCTCCTGCGGCATTGGCCGGCCTTATTGCACATGACGACTTCATTGTGGGAGCTGACCAGGTGTTGCAAGAGGTAATCTCTCTTGATTTTGCTCCCACTCTTCCTAAATGGATAATTAAAGAAAGGGACTGATCAAAGTGTACAACTTTATTGTTTATTTGATTTTCCGACACCTGCAGTCAGAAGATTTCTTCTCATTGATTGAAGCCAATGAGGGGAAACCTCTGAAGCTGTTGGTTTACAACACACAAACAGATCAATGCAGAGAGGTGGTGGTGACTCCCAATGGAGCCTGGGGAGGGGACGGAAGGTAGGATTTACAATTTAATCCTTCAAATGAAAGTGAATATTTATAACTTACTATTTATTATATCCTGTGTATTGTATGCAGATGCAATAAACATGCCACCCTGTTTTACATTTTAGCTTAGGCTGTGGTATCGGCTACGGCTATCTGCACAGGATCCCGACCCGTCCAGTTCAGCCTAACAATGAAAGTGTTCTGCAGTCAATAGTCGCTGGCAGCCACGAAGAGCCTCTGGCAAGTGACCACAGTGAGGTAAAGGGCAAACATCTTAGTTATGTCTCAGTTATTCAAATGTTCTGTGGTAAACACTGACAAAGTTCTTCTCTTAAGGTGCCTTCTGTGGGTGAATGTAGCCCCTCTGCTGTCAGTGACACCGGCTTGAATCAAACTGAGGAAGTTGCAAAGGAGATGATTGTTACCTCAACCACACCGCCAGCTGCAGACTTAGGTAACCTCATTAAACTGTACAAATGATTAAATTGTTTGTTGTTAGTGTCGGTTCTGAGTGTTTAACTGTAACAAAATAATGACCATTTATTCAATGCAAATTGCAGATATTTCCGACTTACCCGAGGCAATGACTCCAGATTTATCAGACATGGCTTCCACCAATGACATGGGTCAGAGCTCTATGCTTGCTAATTACGGAGATGAATCTGGTTATCAGTGTAGCTTGGGTATGTATGCTCACACTCTCTACAAATTGAATTTTGCAGCTTGATAGAGCAAATACATTTTCAATTAATTCCACATGACTTGACAAGAAAAACAAAAGCGGTTGAAACCAGTTATTGTTGACGCGCCTTATTATTCTGGGTTAATTTAATCTGTTAGTGCAATATTGTCTTTTCGTCCATGACAAAGCAAGAGCAGAGCATTATTAAAACTAAAACAAAGTAAATCTCCAATTTCTGTCCGAAGGAGGAGTTTTCCTTTGACCACACCTATTTTATTTTACAGATTCCTCGTCCGTTCTCCAGAGTCCGTCGTCTCCAGAGAAGGAAGACGAATCGGACGTCCACAAAACCGAGCAGGATCCCGCTGTCGACCCGATGACTGCTTCCCCGAGCGGAGAGGCTGCAATTGACCTTGTTGGCCTTGACGTCACCACAGAAAACCTGTGTGACACAAATATCCCAGAGATGCAAGAGGCCGGCTCCGAGCCCTCAGTCTCAGCCAGCGTTGTGGAGGAGGAGGAGGAGGCGGCGGTGCCTGAACCTGCTGCGACAGACAGTTGAGACAACTGCTTCAACAGAGGATAAGTTACTTAAACTCTTCAGCTGACTTGCATAAAAGATTAAGAGCACACCATGTTATGTGAAAAGCTCCCCCATGCAATTGTAAGTTGCCTTATTGGAGAAAAAAAAGAATTAACTTCAGAGTTTTATTTACATCCAAGTGCCGTTGCTGCATGCTGAATTGCACATTTAAGAAAGCCATTTGATTGTCACAACAATATGAATGTAATCTATAATTTAGTTCTCAACAAGAAACAGAAGGAAGTCTGAGTTGAGTCTTAGTTGCTGTGAAGCTTCATTATAATTTGCACTAAAAAGCCAGAGGTGAATAATGTTCGGTTTTGTTGCTGTTACTGTCGTCACCTGCTAATTAGTATGAAACACTGAGTGCTCGAGCTGGACTTTATACACATCCATGAGCTTTTATGTTTCACAGTTTAGGAAATTGGGAATTATGTTTTTATTTTCATGTGGGTTGAGTTTCAGATGAGTGAAAAGATTTTTTAAATCTCAGGCATTAACCATTTAAGCCTTTTTTCCCTTATGTCTTGTTTTAACTATGTGTTGGTTTGTCTTTGGTGTAAATGATTGAGTCATAGGATGCAGCTCTCTGACTTCTGTTTCTTCTCTTTATATAGATTTTAATCAGATCATGTGTATGATTTTCATGGATGAATGTAAATATTCAAATTATTTATAAAAAATAAGATGCTCAAGTTGAATCTGCAGCAGTTTACTCGTCTTTATTTCAACCACAACTAATAGTGAAGAGAGACTCTACTATGACATCTGGTACCACTTATGAATCAAGGAGTTTAATACAATTTACTTCGACATCTGGTCCATCGTACTTGTTCATAGAGAAGTAAGTTCCTACTTGAGACAGCAGGTGTCAGCAAAACACCTCATGGATCTCAACTGGAAAAATCCACTGCAGCTTCAAACATGTCAGATCAGGTTTCTTGTTGTATATTCTCAGTGATTAATGGAGGCATCAAGTGTTTCTGCAGTGTTTTTTTTTTTCAAAAATAATGTCTCCTTTTATATTTCAGTAATATTACAGGAGTCTGTCTTGTAGAACAGCGGTAGCTTGTATAAGTACAGGAAACTACAACAAAGATGCTTCATTTTCATCATTAATATAATTCAGTGCTGCATATTTGGTAACTGGAAGAGGGGCCATATGTCCAGATTATGCCTGGCTGGGTTGGCCCAACCCAATTTGCTCGAAAAGGCATTTTAAATCAGTGGAACAGGGGATTTAAAGGTAATGATGCAAAAATTATAGTTCTTGAGCTCACTCAATTTGAACGCACCCCTGAGAATCCTTTTGTTCAGATTCATAGGCGACACGCAGCATGTTTCATTTATCCCTTTGCACATTTTACATGAGAATAATAACAAAATATTGGTGAGACTCAAAAAATGCACCAAAAAAAAGAGAAAAACTGAGAATGGAGGCTACAGTAGTGGAGAGGGAATATGCCTCAATTATTTACCAGGGCGCTCAGTTGAAGAGGGGGATGGGCAGCGAGGGAATGAAAAGACCGAGCGGGGGAAGAAACACGAGAGGGAGATGGATTTGTCTTTATCCAGTAGAGAGTCAGTGGTGTTCGTAAGGAAGCTTTCCCCTGGCACACCTGTGTGTGTGTTAACTGAGGATTATATTTCTGAGATGAATATGGAGCAGCTCAGGAGTCTTGACTCTGCCCACGCACTGAGGAGAGATGTTGAAATTTCCGTAAAATAATAACCTTGTTAACTCTGCACCTTCTCAGCACAGACTTTGAAGGTGTCTGTGGTTTTCATTCCGTGACCTCAGGGTGAATCTTCCCTCTCAGTGCCTCCATGTTAGGTTTATGGCATTATTATTATTTTTTTTAGAAGAAGAAGCACGCCTGAGGCAAAAGCTAGCAGCTGCGTGGCAGGAGGAGCCATGGGGTGAAATGTAAAGGAGGCCACCTCTGAAAAAACTTGTCCTGCCTTCATTTTCTCCCTTTTCTGAGAACGTTTCAAAGTATAGTGTGACGCAGCTGAACCCTCATGTCATCTTAGCTTTATATCAACCCCCTCGGAGAAGCTCGGCTCACAGGCACCAGCATAGTGGCCTTTGCCTCAGCCTGTCGTTGTGGCATGACCGTTTGTGAAATAGAATATCTACAGAGAAAGAAAGAGGGAAGGAATGGGTGAAGGGGAAGGATGAAAAAGGTATAGAGACAAGGCAGAAGAGAGAATTGACCTGCAGTCGTCACACTATGCTTTTTATCTTTTGGCTGATGTGAATGTGCACGTTGCTCAAGAGAAGTGAAATTAAATGAAGTCATTATGTGACGTGTAGCAGGAGTGAGACAAAACGCCATAAACATCCACTTTTCTGTTCAGACGTGTGAGCACAAATCCTCATCACACTTCCAGAGCACTATTTTCTGTCTCTGTCGCCTTTCCACCCTGATCGCTGACATCTCGCTGAACATCGGCCTATTTTTATTTGGAAGTGCTGGAAGCTGTATTTGCATACAAGCATCATGCTGTGTTCTTTGCAGTACACACGCCAAAGCCTGAGAGTAATCTTCGAAAGTGCCTGTCTGTGTCAGACCACCAATGAACAGGCCATAATTACGTTCATTCATGCAAGAGGACTGTCACTCCGAGGGGCCGGGATTCATTAGAAAATTGTTTTCATCTCCTCATTACCGACTGGTTGTAGATTTGCTTCTATTTGTACCTCAAATGTTCCAGTTTATAATGGTTTTGATGTGAAATTATACACTTCAGCACACGCTGTGATACACGAGGGGAATAATGTGCAGCCTTGTTAGAAAACCAACCTCGGGAAGATACTATTGGTGGGGAGTGAAACTTTAAAGGGATAGTTCACCCAAAAATGAAAATTCACTCATCTACTCACCACTATGCTGATGGAGGGGTGGGTGAAGTGTTTGAGTCCACAAGATACTTTTGGTGTTTCAGGGCTAAACAGCCGTGCAGCCAAATCTAATACAATTAAAGTAAATGGTGACAGATTCATTACAGTCATTTACAACATGTTTTTATCCTAAATGTCCGCTGTGATCCAGATGCGAACGCAGGTCCAGAGGACATTTAGGCTAAAAGCCTGGCTTGGTATTGGGATTGTGTTTGAGAACTGTTAGCGACGCCCTTATCTGAGATCTTTGTCCTGCTCTCTGATCTGGCAGCAAAAGCACTAAAAAATAAATTAAATCTTTTTCGAGTTTCACATATCCTGGTGAAAATGAAGCGGGAGATATGGTAAATTAGCTGCAGCAGTGAATAAGGAGGTTAAATGTGTGTGCCCTGCTTTAGCTCCTACAGTAATTGCCATTCAGCAGGGGTGAGGTGCTCGCCACACAAGACGGCACACATTGTTCCACTGTCACGATGACCCTGCTGATGTCAAGTCTGCACCCATCTGCTACTTTGGCGTCACCTCTAACAGCCTTAACCTGAAAGAAAAACTGGGTAATTTCTTGAACTTACCATCATGTCCTCAGCTTTTATAATCATTTTCTTACCACAGGAAGGAGGTGCAGGGAGTTTTGAGTTTTTTCAAATAATCTGGAATCAGGGTTTTCTGCATCCTGGAGGCGTCTCGTTGAAGTGATGTGGCGTGACCGCTGCAAGGCTGCTGTCATCATCAGCAGAACAAAAACAAAACAAGGAGAGCGGGTTTGTGTCAGTATCATTTTCTCTATTTACAAGTTTCAAGTGCCGTGTTTTCTTTCTTACTTTATCTGAATATGATCTGAAGCCCCTTTTGTGAGAAGCAGCAAACGCGATAAAGGATAAAGGTTCGGCTCAATATGTGTGGATGGAGAAACATGACCCAGCACCGTCCCCTGCTGTTTTCCTGTGTCTGTAACATATTTGCCGTCCCAACAGGGAATTGTCTCTTAGAGTTAACCTCATTACCAGTTAACCATCACCCCACAGGGCAATGCATGCTTGGATTATTGGCCTTCCTCCCTCGACATGTATGAACAAGCACACGACATAGCATGCTACTCACTGAAGGACTCATAAAGCATGAAACACTGCATTCGTCATCATGGTCATTATCAGGTAAGGCTGTGGAACAGTAGCAGGACACAGTGTTCTCATAAGTGTTCTGCAGTGTCCAAACATTTCAGCTGCACTGCTACAGACATTGTTATGCTCTCTTATTTGCATAAATCCCAGTTTTGCTCTCAGTGTTCCAAGGCACCATCAAACTCCTAAAAATCTTGAAATTTAAATACTGGTCACATCTTGTTCACAGTGCATGCTGGTCCAGAATCCTGAATACATGTGTGCCATTTCCCTCCGTCACATAATTTATCTTCCACTTACAGCTTCAGCACTTATTTCCAATTGCAGCTCCTTCAATCAGTTTTGGCTCAGATGTGCATGGCGTAGGCTTTGTGTGTGTGTGTGTGTGTGTGTGTGTGTGTGTGTGTG